AGCAGATGTCATGTTCACTCCACTAAGCACAAGTTCTCTCACCTCACTTAAGTTCTGAACAAGATTTCTCAAGGTAGTTGTTTCAAGGATCAATTTAGGAGAATTAGAATCAAGGTCATTAGAGAGATTGAGAGAAACTAACTTGGGTAGGTGAGCAATTTCTGTTGGAACTTGGCCCGAAAACTGAGAAGAAGAGATATCAAGATGCTTTAGTCTAGTAAACTGACTGATTTCTGGGGGAATCTTGGAAAGCCTAAAATCATTGAAGGAAAGATCGAGGCTCTGCAGGTTTTTGAGGAGAAAAAGAGTGCTGTTGGAAGGAAAGGTGCCAGAAAGGAGACTGCAGCTGAGATCAAGAGCGATTACATGACCTGTGACATTATCACAGCTAACCCCATCCCAGGAACAGCAACCTATACCTTCCTTCCAAGACTCAGTCTTAGAATAAGGTTTGTTATGGTAAGTATTACATCCATAAGGATCAGAAGCAGTGTTATTGATGGAAAAGGAAGTCTTGAATTGCAGCAAAGCAAAAGCCTCCTCATGAGGCCTAAGGTTTCTATGGTTCTTAAGATTTTCAAAGAGCAAGGTATGATTCTGACCATACTTTAGGTCTATCTGAATTCTTCTCAATGGCAGAGACTTCTATAACTACACTGTGGACATTGGAGGTTTGCTTTCTTGGTTTGAAGATTGATGCTTCTTATAATTAGTGAATAGCAATTGAAATCTGAATTTTAGTATGGAAATATTGAAAAAAGTTGAAAAAGATAAATGTATGAAGTTGAAGAACGTTCACAGTTATTCATTGTTAATGTTTCAGTAACTTTTATGGTTTAGATCAATATATGAAGTTTGTGGTTGTTGTGCAATGGCATTTGCTGACTTAAATATTGGATTAAGTTTAGCAAAGATTAATCTGATCTGTGCTATTTCAAATTTTGATTGTGAAATTCATGCAGCAGTATTACTGTTGTCTTGTATATATATATTTTTAAGCAAATGACTGTTGAAGCTTTCCCAAACAGACTCCTAGTATGTATGTTTACAGTCAGAACCAATGGGTTTGTTTGGTTAATCAGTCCCCATCTTCACCATCTGATGGACTGGAATATTAGCTCTGATCTGAACCACCCATAGGAAGATTGGAATACCTTCCTAAGGGAATTGCTATGATGAAAGAGTTAACCCTACGAACGCAAGACTACTTAGTTTCTTTTGGGGAGTGCATGTCAACAAGGATTTTTGCTGCATATTTGAATAAAATTGGAGTTAAAGCCCGCCAAGTATGTTGTTTGTCCTCTTTATATCCTATAACTAAATATACATGCCTTTTCTTGCCATGCTGCTGAACATTAGGAATTTAGTTTTTCAAGAAAATGTTTTAACACGGATAGCTGTGCTCTACCCTGTTCCTAAAACAGTTTCTTTGATCCAAATGTAAGTCATTTGAATTCTTAGATTTCTTACAGAAGATTCAATTATGGTATTGCCTTCTTTGTGTTTCCTTGTGACTACCGTCTTAGTGGTTTCAGATTATAATTTTGTTCATTCTTTTGCAGTATGATGCCTTCAATATTGGTTTTATTACCACAGATGACTTCACAAATGCTGATATTCTGGAAGCAACCTATCTAGCTGTGGCAAAAAGGTTAAATGATGATTGGTTCAGTTATCCTGCAATTCCGGTTGTCTCTGGTTTCCTGGGAAAGGTCCTTCTACTGAACAGCTGCGGTTAGCTTTTTGCAATGATTTAAATTTGAACAAGATTTTGTTAGGGCCATGCAGCAATGTCTTATAGGCAGTGAACTTCTGATTGTAGGGCTGGTGATCTTCTGCAATTACTACATTAGGTGGGGGTGGTAGTGATTTGATAGCAACAACTATTGGGAAAGCATTAGGCTTGCAAGAGATTCAGGTGATTAGTTTTTTTGTATTAATTGTGAACACTTGATGCAGTTCAGCATGCATATATAGGAATTTTTATTTCTTCACTAATACCCTTTTTTCATGATTAAATGTGTATCTCTTTATTCAGATGCACAATAGGCATATAAATATTTACAAGTTAATCTTTTTTGAGGTTTGTGGAACAATGATGTCCTATTGAGTTGAGATTCTCTGGACAAATTTGATTGTAGGATAACTACCTTTTTTCACCAAAATTATGGTTTTCTTATAGGCATGGAAGGATGTTGATGGTGTCTTGACCTGTGATCCTAATATAAACCCACATGCAGAACCTGTCCCCTATTTGGCGTTTGAAGAGGCAGCTGAACTTACTTACTGTGGTGCTAAGGTATCAAATTATCAATAGTATTTTTTTTTTTATTGGTTTTTCAGTCATTTACAAAACCACCTAGTATTCCCTTTGGCTTGTATTTTTTGGATTCTGGGCATCTCCCTCCCACATTCCTCTTCCTACCTTCTATTTGTCTTCCTGAAAGAAACCTTTTCTGTTTTGGCCCAAACTTGACTAGGGTGCATTTGGCCTACTGTTACGTAATTGTTTAAACCTGGCAAAATAACTGAAGTTGAACTTGATATTGCTTTTCTACAGGTCCTGCATCCACTATCCATGGGACCAGCTATGGAGGGTGAAATTCCCGTCAAGGTTAAGAATTCTTACAACCCTACTGCACCGGGAACTATTATCACAAGAGATAGAGATATGAGTGAGGTTTGTAATAGCTGATTGTTTGCATAATGCAATGTAAAGGAATCCACTGTACATTAATGGTTCTTATACTCGTGGCAGTCAGTGCTTACTAGCATTGTTTCGAAAAGGAATGTTGCAATGTTGGATTATTGTCAGCACTTGCATGCTTGGTAAGTATAGCTTCCTTGCAAAGGTCAGAAAGGGTGTATTCTAGTTCCACACTTGTCTTCTTGGTCAGTAGCTGAATTGATGTGTATGTTACTATGTTTTCACCCATGCAGGTATTTTCAATCTTTGAAGATCTGGGCATCTCAGTGGATGTTGTAGCTACCAGTGAAGTTAGTATTTCCTCGACGTTGGATCCATAAAAAATTTGGGGCAGAGAGCTAATTCAACAGGCAAGTTGTGGTACCAAACTTTGATGTACACTGTGTGTTACTAAAACAGTTGGCTTTCAGATGAATTCTTCTGAGTCTGAGTCTCTTCAGCTGTTTATGTTGTGTCTTGCAGGAACTCGACCATGTTGTTGAGGAAGTCGAGAAAATTGCAGTCATCAATCTGCTTCAGCATCGACGCATTATTTCTCTAATTGGAAATGTCCGGAGGTCGTCTCTAATACTGGAGAAGGTGATGTTTGATGTTTAGAAATTGACTTGCTTGATGTTTTTTGGGGTTACTGGCTGTGTGCAAAATTTTTCTTGTTATTATTTACATTTACCTTCATACTTAGTGGCTTCAACTTCCCTATAGCTTCGAGCTTTCAAAATCTTTTAAGTGAATCTAACTTGTTTTTGAGTGTGAATCTTCAGTTTTGATATTCTTTAATTAATAGTTGAATGTGATCACAGCAGGCATTCTGCGTTCTTCAGACAAATGGAGTCAATGTTCAGATGATCTCTCAGGGTGCATCCAAGTTCTGTACCGCTTGACCCTGTATCTCAATGTTTCTTTGCATAGCTTGATATCTAAAGTGCTGCATTGTGCATTTCACATTAGAGCGCAAACTTAAGACTTGTACCTTGTAGGCATTGTAAGTTTACATCTTCAAAAATGTGTCATGTGGTCATCTGTGCATTGCTTAATAAGTGCAGAAAGCAGCTTAATTACCTTCCACATAATGGGATGTCCTAGTTATGTGCTCACTGGGGTTTCACGTAAAGTCATTTGGTTGGTTTTTGTACACTTGTAACAAACCACCACTTACTGTTTTTACCAAGGCAAAAGGTGCAGATCACCCCCTAAACTCAACAACTGGTGGCAAATCACCCCCTCAACCCATTTCACGCGCAAATCAACCCCTCAACTCACCTGCAGTGGCAAATCAGCCCCTCTCTTGACCCTTCCGTTAACATTTCCGTTAACATTTAACAGTATGCTCATCAGCCCTTCCTCTGTGTCTGACGTGACCTTCTTTTTGCTGAGATGGATGCTGAGGTGGAGGCACAGCTGGACAAATACCTCAAAATCAGCTGATTACACAAATTACTTTTATACCCTTAAGTTGTTTAGGGAATAAAATTGGAGATTTGTTTTTCTGCCAGGATCTGGTCAAAGGAGGTACTGGGGCAGATGTTTTTTCATCTGGGTCTGAAACATGCTTTTCCAGTTTTTCCAGTGAACCAAACAAGGCTTAATTAATCAAAAGGAGCACAAAAAACAAAGATTAATTACTTACTTTGCTCTTGAATTGAAGAAGCTGAAGATGGGTCTTGTCCATCGAGATAGAGGAAAAGTGCTTGATCCAATTCTCCCAAATCATAAGCTCCGCTATCTTTGCTTCTGCTTAATTAAAAACAAAACAAAACAAAAAATTTAAGAAAATTCCAAAACATTTGCATCCTTTGGTAAGCTAAATTCAAGAAGTTTCTAGCTTCCGGATTTTACATGAAGTTTCCAGATGGGGGGATTGAGGATGATGATGGAGATGATGGAAATATGGCATAAGGAATCTGATGATGGTTATGCTCTTGTATCTGATGATGCTGATGTTGTTGATGCTCAAGTTGGCTCGAGTTGTTTCTACCAGTTGCCATGGAAGAAACCTGAACTAAAACTCACTTATGGGACTTGGTTGTTCAATCTTTTCTTCAACAAAATTTCAGTAGCTCTTCAATACACTTCTGTTAATGGCGAAACCACCTCCCTTCTTTTATGATTTACTCCTAAATCATTTTTGATGTCTATTAAAAAAAGCAGACCTGAGTCGGTTATAAAATGATGAAGAAGAGGATAGAAAGAGAAGGAAAAGAGGAATTAATAGATGGAATCCAAAGGAAACAAAAAGACAAAAAGTCTCCAAAAACCAACAAAAGAGGGTGCATCGCTTGCACTTCCGGACCAGGGTCACTGCGCGCTCAAGGTTTTTGGAGACTTCAGTGACTATGCAGACGATTGGCCGGTCGTATAAGGGCGGAGAAGCAGCGGAGATGCAGCCGACCAGATCATGAAGCATCGACCTCAAGCAACCCACTAAATTCCCAACGTGGACGCACTCCATCTCAAACAAGTTAGACTCTGCAACTTCTGAGTTAACTCGTCTTCCAACTCGTTCAGCCATCAAAATCTTTTCCAACACCACCATCTCCTCCTCCTCTAGGTTTACCTGTATCACCAGATTTGTAATCTGTTGATTTTGAGGTATTTGTCCAGCTGTGCCTCCACCTCAGCATCTATCTCAGCAAAAAGAAGGCCACGTCAGACACAGAGGAAGGGCTGATGAGCAGACTGTTAAATGTTAACGGAAGGGTTAAGAGAGGGGCTGATTTGCCACTGCAGGTGAGTTGAGGGGTTGATTTGCGCGTGAAGTGGGTTGAGGGGGTGATTTGCCATCAGTTGTTGAGTTTAGGGGGTGATCTGCACCTTTTGCCTTTTACCAACTAGGTTAACATATCATTGATTGTGAACGACAATGAAGCAGAGCGGTGTGTTAGGGCTCTACACACAGCCTTCTTTGAGGGTGATACATCAGAAACTGCTGCGTGAAAAATGGAGAAATGATCATATCCTTTTTCGTTTCCTTTCCTTCATATATTTTCGTTAGTTTGATTTTGATTATGAAAAAATGTATGGCATGTCGACCCTCCTTTAATTGTTGTAATGTCTTATTTTTTTGAAAATAGGTAATGTGTTGTAATGTCTTATTATTCATGAGATGTTGCAAGATTTTATATTGATTATTCCAATTATTATAATTATAATTATTATATATAAACAGAGCTGATTTTCCAGTTCCAACCAAAACTTCTACAGCCTCCATTGAAAGAAATGATGATAATAATAATAATAATAATTCATTTCAAATAGGCAAATAGAACCAAAAATACATAATAACAAAAAGAAGAAGAAAATAAAACTAAATTCCGAAAGGCTACTTGTTATTGTTGTTTCTCCTCTTGTTCACCAAATCATCAGGAACAACTTGGAGGAGCTTCCTCTGCTTAGACTTGGCAATCTTCTTCAGAGTATTAGGATTGCTGATTTTCTGAAACTTTGTCCCAGACCTCATTATATTTTCCTTTTTCTTCTTCTCCCTCTCCTCTCTCTTCTTCCTCTTCTCAACCTTGTTTTGCCTAATCTCTTCTTTCAATTCATTCATTCGTTCCTTGTACGCCCTATTCAGCTCCTTCTGCCGCTGTCTCTCCTCCAAGCTCGACCGCTTCAGACTCACCTGCTTCGCCGACGCCCGATGCTTCCGAGGCTGCTTCCAGTTTCGCCCCGAGACTTTTCCCGCTATCACACCGTCATAAGTAGGCCGGCCGAAGGATGGCTTGTTTGGATCGTCAGAGGAGGGGATAGCAGACCGCTTCGCCGCCGGGGGACATGAATCGTCGATGTCCATGGAAGCGCCATCGTTATCGTAAGCTTCGGCGGCTTGTCGCTTTCGCTTGTAGGTTTTGCCTCCAAAGCCTTCATCCAAACACCTGAAATCTATAGTGCAAGCCATGACCCCCGGAAAGTAGAAACCCTAGTTCGGTTT